AGAGGCAACTTTTGGCTTTTTCGCCGCCTTCTTTTTGGCTTTACCCCGCCGCTTCTTGCTGGAGTTTCTCAACAGCAAGCACAGTCTTGGGCACCACGATATCCTGCTCGGCCGATTTCAGTATCCCATGCAGTTCGGCTAAGCTCTTAGTCATCCCGTGCATATGGTACTGCATCACGAACTGGTTATAGTCCTCGGGTAATGACATCAGGATCAAGTCTGCAACCAAGTCACCATCGAGGTTCACTCCCATACGCTCAAGTTCTTCAACATGAGCTCTCATGTTGAGGACGTGGGTGTTGACAGAGCTACCTCTCGGCATCTCTGTCTTCACCAGAGCTTTCAACGTCTTGTACTTTTCAGTACGCGCTAGCTCCTCAAACATGGTCTTGAGCTGATTGATCATATCAAACACGTTCTTCCCCTCAAACTGCCTTTGCAGATTCGGGGCCATGCTTCCCAACATGAGACAGGAGATCTCATTGTCGTCAGTCTGATGCTTCTGCCAAGCATCCTTGACGGCTCTCGTGGCATTGGCCGCATGCTCTTGTGGTAGAGCCTCTTCCAGGACGTATGACTTCTTGTCGTGCTTGAGAACTATTCTCAAGTTACGATACCAGTCTAAGAAGTTCGTCCCAGTCAATTTATCCTTCTCAAGGATAGATCGCAACGTCAAACTCGGTACGCTACCGGTTGACGCCATGTCCTACAAAAGAGACAAAACAGAACGAACAAAACAAATGCAGATTCTATTAATGATCTACTACCAGCTAGTCCATCATCAATCAGTGTCTACATACCTATGATCTACGTTTATTGGATGAATTTCTTGGAGATTTCACTTGTTTCTCGCAGTAAATTTGTCAGAAAATCGCGCCGGAGAAGAGACATTCAAGAGAGAGAAGAAGAAAAACTCGAAGAGAGAGAACGCGATGTATGGCGGGAGACAACGATAAAGAGGAGAGAGAAAATGAGGTAAAAAGTAGATCTATATTTTATTTATTTTAGTATATTATAATATTATATAAATAAAGGAAGGGTATTATAGGGATTCTACATTTATAAGGGTATATCTGATGTTACCGTTTTTTTGTTACTGTGCGAGGGTATGGGCTGTAAATGAAATCGACATTTAATGTTATTTTTGCAATTGTCCCGCTTGGTTTATACATCTCTAACCAACTTCGCTGAACCTTGCACAGCTTTTTTGGATTCGGATACAGGTCTGCAACTATGAACGGGATTATATGATCTTACACTGAAACGTTCGGAATTCTGAATCGCTGCAATGCGTAATTTCCAAGCACAACCCGATCTATAAAACTTGCATCTTAATTCCCACAACTTCTTGTCAGACTTCACTGTAGAAAAACCGAAACAAGCTTTAACAGCGCCTTTCCGTACATATTCCTGAGCTGCTGCCTTATTATCAAACTCATAGCCAATACTTATATTCAATCCATCACTAAAATTGAATACTGAAAGAGAAAACGATGTGTCCTCCACAGCTACAATGGCCATATTATTCTCACCATCACCATCTCCATCACCAAAGCCAACTTTATGGGTTTCAGTTGCAGGTCCCTCTTTTAAAACAATTGCATGTTCTCCATTCATTTCATCTTCTTGAACAATAGTATGTTCATCATCCAGATCATCTATAAATTGTATCGTATTACTCGCACCTTTACTCTTGAAATCGGGACTCTGAATCATATTCTTATTATAACCTGCATAAAGCACAGCCCCATATGGTCCAACACCAATACCAACACCACTACCGGAATCCGGAATGTATTGCATAACAATTTCTTGTTCACATTCACTTCTCAAATTTACTTTTTCAATCTCCACGTGAAGCATGCTTCTTCCTCCGTTTATTTTGTCCATGAGATAAATAAACACTTGCTTGTCATTCCATATGTAAATCGGCTCACATTTTCCTTTTATTGATGGTAGATAACTTAGCTGAATATTTGCTTTTCCTTTGTCCACATTCATATCAGAATGTAACTCCTCAACCAGATGTCTGTATGTCAAATCTGTCGGAGGAAAAAGGAATATCACACCCTTGGCATCTTTAACTTTTCCTTCCCATTCATATTCTCCACTTGCATTCATTATCCACTTGCCACCAGACTTGTAATAAACAATTGTCATTCTTTCATCACTTACAGCCATTATGCCTGTACAAAATAAACACAAAATGGTGAAACTGGTTTGACGTGTTTGACGAGTTTGTCGAGTTTGACGAGTTCTACGAGTTTGACCAGTTGGACAAAATGGTCACTTTCACCAATGTGACGAGTTAATTTGACCAGTTTAACTGATATATATATATATATATATATATTACATTTGACTCATCTATATTATACAAATACGAAAATTAAAAAACCCTAAATACCCAAAATATATATCGGCTTTAAAAAAAACTTACCTATTAACGGGATCTACGTTTATTGGATGAGTTTCTTGGAGATTTCACTTGTTTTTCGCAGCAAATTTGCCAGAAAATCGCGCCGGAGAAGAGACATTCAAGAGAGAGAAGAAGAAAAACTCGAAGAGAGAGAACGCGATGTATGGCGGGAGACAACGATAAAGAGGAGAGAGAAAATGAGGTAAAAAGTAGATCTATATTTTATTTATTTTAGTATATTATAATATTATATAAATAAAGAAAGGGTATTATAGGGATTCTACATTTATAAGGGTATATCTGATGTTACCGTTTTTTTGTTACTGTGCGAGGGTATGGGCTGTAAATGAAATCGACATTTAATGTTATTTTTGCAATTGTCCCGCTTGGTTTACACCCATATCTCCAGCATCTCCGACGCGTGGGAGGAGCGGCCAGTGTTGATCACGCGCCATCGTTGCATGCGACGAAGAGGTCATGGATTTTGTTTCATTTCCTTCACTTTGATCGCAATTGTCGGAGAGAGAACCAGAGAAATGGCGGACAGGTCGGAGGTGAGCTGAAACTCTAAAAATTTCGACTGATTAATGTTGAATGATTAATTTAATAAAATTCTGGATTGGACTTTTTTTTTACCGTTACACTTGCTAAATTGATCGTTATCATATTGCCGGGAATCGGTTCCCTCCTTAAATAATAATATATAGATAAAGATTAACATATGGTATTTTTGCTAACAAGTGCGCCAAGCAAGAAATAAACACGACATGCCCAATGGCCATAACCTAAAAAGATCAAATAATAATAACAAATACCCCTTTTTGTGGGCAGAAACAGATTACAGAACAACATGCCGACAAACACAATGATCCCTCTTTTCTGTCCCCCCGAGTTATAATATTACAGAGATGCCCCAAAATCTATTTTTATTTGGAAAGAAATTAAAAAAAAAAAATATCAGACTCTCTCTCTCGAATCTTTTTTTTTTTTAAAATGAGGCATGAATGGAATACAAAAGTAGATGCCGAGAAGAGAAGAGAGGTTCAGAAGGAGAAAGGAGATGAGAGAGAATCGTCGAGGTCTTTGAAAGCAGCGTAGACAGCCTCCGTTCTGCTCTGCGGAAGTGGCAATCTCCTCACCTCTGTCATGTACCTGTTTGTTTCGATCGGTTCCCAACCCAAAACACGATCAAATATGTTACTTCTTTCATGCATTTTATCGGGTTTTCAGCCATTTTACGTTTCAATCCATAACATTAGAGAATATGACATATGATCATCATCGTCAACAGCAGAAAAGGAGGGGAAGCCCACTTGCCTGTTTGAAGCATTGGCGATCTTATCTCGTAGGCGTTGGTTGGGGATTGTGCCCATCCGTTCTGAAAACGCCGACATTGCCCATTCACGAATCACCACCACTACTGACCGCAGTAGACGTAATCTGAGGTTAGGAGATGGCACAATGGCTGCGTTTGATAATAAACGGTCATAAGCGTTTAACACAGTTTCAGCCGCTCCTTTGCAAGCCCCCATTAGAGCCCTTGCTATGTCTTCGTCTCCCACAGCCTCCGCACCCGTTTCCTTTCTCTCCTGCATCCACCATGACATTTTTAATTACTACTACTATGCTTACTTCTCTACATCTTTTCTTTTTTTTTTCTATCTGTACTGTATGTCACAACTTCTTAGTTCTTCCCCTTCCTTAACATGTGCCTCCATATACGCAGAAATACATGCAGGCGAATCTCTATAATATATGGACATTACGCATGTATGTGTAAAACCTGTAAAAGAAATTTAGTGTGTATGGTATTGCATGGACAAACAGCTTCATGTATGTGTATATGTATATAATGATGAAAAACAAACAACTGCAAACATCTATACATGTGCACGCATAAACACAGTTACGAGCATACATGCAATCAAACACCTATCCATATATGTATAAGCATGTAAAATGAGTATATGCATATGCATAGGCTAAAGTTTAAGAGGGAATACGTGCATACATACTATTCCGTTTATGACGCAAGGAAAAGGCTGATGATTAATATCAACTACTTGGTTTAGGACATCATTAGTCAGGGTAGAGTGTGACAGTGAGAGGAAACTTACAAGTGCGGCTTTCTCAAGGTGAAGGCACAAAACATCGAGGGGTAAAACAACTCCATCGCCAGGATATACACGAGAGCCCACTCTCTTCAGCACAGAACATGCATCAGCTATCCCACCTCGTGATAGAGCCTGGTCAATGAGTCGAGCCCATGTTTCCCTTATAATGCTGCAATCAGCGTCACCAGTGTAGTTTGCAAAGTACAGCATTTCCAGACAGATCTGGAAAAGAAAGAGAGAAAAGCAATCAGGTAGCGGAAAAGAAAGCAATTAGCAAAGACAAAAGGAACTATGCTAATACAAAGCTATAAGACAGCACTAATCTTTCCTCAGAGATGGGTTGCCCTATGACCTATCATTTAAAACAGGGATATTGATGGACATGATCCACAAGGACTTCGAAATCATTTTATAATCTCTCACCTAGTAAAAAGCGAATCATGATCAACTTGGACAGTTGACAACTTTTCGATGGTGAAGCTACACCAGGAACTGTTAACCTAAAAGACTGCCCAATTATCAATTGGGCTACAGATCAGGCAAACCACTAGGGGTTCCCTTTCTCCATGGTCACTTGTAAATCTAAGAGCATGAGAAGTTTGGTCTATGGTTTCATTAAAAATAAGCTATTCTGTATTTTGTCAAGCTACCCTATCTAGGCTTACCTCCCAGAATTCAAACGGAACAGCATATTCATTATACAGCTCTGTTATGCTTTTCAGATCCAAAGACAGCTCTTTAGCCTTCTCTTTTGCTGCATTTGCTAAACTGGCATCAGCACTAGGACCACTGTCGGGTACTGGCCCGTTATTGCCAGAGTCCTGCATGGAAACTGGGGCCTCCAACCTGGAAGCTATAGCTTCCAATTCCTCTTTTATTTTTATTTGGAACTGAATAACGGCAAGTTTTCCTTCAAGCAAATCAAGCAACCCACTTTCAGTAGCACCTCGAACTGAACCTATTAAACCATCACTGTTACTTGCATTCTTGGCCTGAAGAACTGCATGACTTAGATATTGTCGCCTACAGTGTACAGTAACACATTAGAGAGAGAAGCGGGATACCCTAGAGCTAAACGGTAAGCAGGGGAGAAAAAAATTGAAGTATCCAGCCAACGTCTCTCAAGATAATCTTCATGGCATAAGATAAAACACAATGGTTTACCTTTGTTCAAGAGTAGGATTATCCCCTGAATCAAGAGCACGTCTTTCTGCAAGCCTTAGAAGCACATGTGCAGCAAGCAAATGTTGCCTCTTCGACACATAATATTTTGCTAGAAGATCAAAGTATTTTGCTTGATTCAAAGGAATCTGTGTTCCAATTTGGCCCGGGGAAGGTGCCCCAGAAGGCATAGCTCGGACCTGAGAAAGAGGGGGACAAACGTGAGAAGTTCATGGAAAACAGTTGCATGTCCGATGTTAAAGCTATGATTGGTTGTCATGTTTGCAGTCAGCTACGAATTATTGGCTGTTAGTTTTAGGCTTTGATTTCCTTAGCTATGGAGCTTTTGGGTAAAACAACCAAAACAATCCATTAGGGTTATGCCACATATCTCTGGTAAAGAAAAAAAGAGCCACAGTCACCACCATTAAAACAAAACAATCAGGTCTAAAGCTTAGAACCAACCTCTGGTGTAAGCTCACGGCCAGCGTTCTGGAGAAAAGGTACCAAATCTGGACCTCCATACTCCAGCAGCTCGTTTTCTAGACCCAGGTCTATCATGGCCTTGTATAGGTATTCTCTGAATGCTTTGTCAGTTGACTGTACACCAAGATGAACAATTTGGCATATACATTGTCTCTTTACAGCCTTGTCCAGCACGGAACTAGCCAGAGATCTCAAAGCATTAACAATTATCTCATAGCACTGTTCACGCTGGGCAAGAGCATGTTCTCGAAGGGAAGCATCTATTTGGTCATTGAATGCATCACCTGCAGGATCGAGAGCCTGGGCCTTCTGAAGAGGTAAGCAGACAACAGCTTCATAGAACCTGTAGAGTTTTTATCAGAGTGAAAACCCAACAAATGATATTTAAAATGGCTAGACGAAACATAAATAAAACATGTTTTAGAGTTAGTTTGATTCCGGCTTTAGCTATGTGCTTTTGCCTTGATTCATTTTATAGGGCTTCTGCTCTATTCTTCTTTAATCATTAATGTTAACTGTGAACTTCTAGATTTATGCCTTAAACTATTTTTTTTTCTTTTTTTTCACTTTTAAAGTCTATTTTTAAAAATTAAAGGTTATTTGAAGATATTTTAAAACAAAAATATTTTAGTCCTGTAAAGCTAAAAGGGATTCATCTCAGGCTTAAAACCTACCTTCTTTTTGAAACGCAAAAGGCCAGAAAAGATAAAAAGGAAATTGAGCTGGGGCAACAGCAACAAAACTACAGTCATATACTTCTACTTGAATGAAAAACGAACCTTAGTTCCTCAAAGCGTTTGCAAACAGTTCGGAGATCTGCAGAACCAGGTACTTTGCTCAAGAAACCGAAGGCCTCTCTAGCAAGATTCTGCTTCTCCTCAGCATCTGATGCTACAGCAGCTCTCTCAAGACATTCAACAGCTAAGAAAAATTTATAATCGGACTCCTTGAAATAGCTTGGGCAGCCTTCCCGTAATCGCCCACTAACATCATCAACTGTCCCCCTACCATCGGGTCCCGTATAATACTGGATGAACATGCAGATCCGTGTTACTCAATGAAACATGAAGGATCAATTCTATAAGATCAACACCAAGAAGAGTGTGTTTAGCATTATAAAGCTTCGTTCAAAGAGTAGTACCTCCATTAGAGCAGATATAAGCCTTGTTGCAATTTGATCACCTTCTTCAGAACAAACAAGTTGATGGAATGTTAACTGAGCTAAAGCTTGCCTTAGGTTTGCATCTAGATCCTGAGTTAACCTTGCAACATGATGTTGAGAAAGAAGCTGGAGCAAGAAAAGGGCTTCTGCAGATCTAAGAAGCAGCTGTCTAATGCACTCCATTGCCCTTACCTGTAGGATGACAAGACCAATTACCAAACCAATAAAATAAATTTATGGCACGTAACTGACAACCAGACATAAAAGCATCTAACAAATTCTTACCTCCATGGCAGCCAATTCAGTAGGGCTATAAGGCAATCGTTGTCTTTTATTCGACGACCCGCCTCCGTTGGACTCAATACTCCTTGAATATGCTCCAAACAAGTTCGTCACCATAGTCCTCTCATCAGTTCCTAGAGCTGTACCATTACCATACAAAATAGATCCGGTTACATCTCCTAATCCAGCAACACAACCATAAAGCCCCCTTCTCTGGTTTCGTCTAGACCTCAAAAACTTCTCCAATGACCGAATCTTGCTTTCAAGCACATGCATAGCACCGATAGAAAGTCGGAAAACCATCACGCCATCCTCAAACATCGAACCAGAGCTGCCTTTTCTCGACATCACAGGAAGTTCCCAGAGAGGAAATAGTAATCTTGATGTACACAGGCAGAGCCCCTCATGAGCACCTGAGAAGATGGGCTCAGCTTCTTGAACAACCTGCCCCATGCTGAAACCTCCAGTTGCTGTTCTAGTATTTGAGAATCCACTGCTGCCTTCAAGCTGTGGCACTCCCACAATTCTAGGGTCCTCAAAAGCTTCCGCTGCTTTCTCCGCCACAATGTTACTGATAAGATCTTCAGTATAGAGTATACGAGCGGCCAACATCAAACACATGGCAGCGGCTTCACCTGCTCCAAAGCGGTTGAAGAAATCTTCTAGAAATGATCTTGGAGAGTTGGATTCCAGAAGTCTTCTCAAGATATCAACTGGCCTATTAAAAACCAGCTCCATCATGCCCATAGTACTGAAAACAACAATCTTCCTCCTCGGCAAGATATGCTGGGTGGAGAGATCACCTCTAGCCCAGAGCTTTCCACAAGCCTTTTCATATGACTCTCCCGAGATTTCTAGTCCACAATATTCAAGTTCTGAATATAATGACTGCACAGTGGCAGCAGTATCAGGAGAAGGGAGCACATCTGCTACAAAAAGCATACGGCCCTCAATAGGTAAAGAAGACACCAGTTCCCGTAAAGCCCGGGAACTCCTTGAACTTGGTCCCGTACTGCCAGAATGAGTGTGCGAAGTTGAATCTCTGCTCACAACAAGAAGAGAAGACATAGTAGGTGGCGAGGAATCCGAAAGCACAAGAGTTCCTACAGAATAATATGCTGTTTCAATCTTCATTGAAAGATCCTCATTCTGATTTCTGCCAGCCAGAGATGCAGCTCCAAAGGATATCCCACCACTGACCCCCAATGGAGGAGATGGTCTAGTAGTTACTACCTTCAAACAATTCGGAGTTTGACGGTTGTTGCTGAACCCGCTGAAACTAACATTTCCACCAGTTCCACCTGATGAGGTGGAAAGATACATTCTCCTGCCATCTGATAGCACAGCAACGAGGTGCAACCATTTGGATTCCAGCATGGACAATGGTGAAATGCAAACTATAGATGGCTTGCTAGATCGACCTGTGCCCCTCGCAGCTGCTGACTGCTGACCTCCATGGCTCACATCCCTTTGATTTAATAGATTCCTTTCTTCTGCCACCTTTTTAAGAGGGCCCTCCCCATTTGGCCCAAAAATGTACGCCTGAAGTTTCATCTCTTCAGTGCGGGCATATAAAATTTGCCTTTCATTGTCAACAGCCATCTCCACTACAGGATCGACAGCTCCAAACTTGAATACATTCGGAACAACCCACCTAAAAACCGGCATGATTGATGTTAATGCTAAAACATGTCATAAAGAATGAGACCATAACAAGGAGTTGAAGATTATAACTCTAGATACAAAATGAATTTCTAGAAGCTCGCTTCATACCACATGCAGTAGCAGAGACAGCAGAAAGCACAAATCTGTATATGTACCTTGAGATCACGCTGCCAACACCTGCGGTAAGGCAAACTTTGCGACAGCGTTTATGCCACCCTGAGCCGGTCGTGTAAAGCAGTTCATATATGTGACCATCACGTCCAGCTAGGAAAATACGGCCTTTATCAGTGCACGTAATACATGTCATTGTCACTCCATCTGAGGATATTGTATAATCTGGCATAGGCTGCAGCGAAATTTCAGCATAAGGATCTCTACCATCAGGTCCCTCAGTGCAGCACACTCCAACGAGAACCAGCTAACAACAATAGCAAGAGATATTCTCAGAAAATTATAAATGTTAAGCAAATAAATAAGTGGTGAACAGATTGATGGCTGTTAAATGATGATACCTCAACTGGAGTCGCCAGCAGCAAGAGATATTGAATAGCTTCAACAAAAATTCCAGGTCTGCATTTCGCAAGACCGACAGCACAAATAGCCTGCTCCTCCCCGCTATACTCTGGACATTGCCCATCCCTGATTAACACGTGTGCATAGGAAAACATTCAAGCAAACCCGAAAAAGCTCAAATCTCAGGAGAATATATGCATAAATTCTTTCAAGAATGAATAAGTGCAGCCGAAAACCAACAATCGAAGGCCTATTGCCCCCCAAACCCATACTGAAACTCGACTGAGTTCACTTGCTTCGCATTGGAACTATTGAGATGGTCTAGGGCTACAGTAACACCCATAACTACTTCAAACGAAATAGGCCATCTTACGTTATGAAAAAAAAGGTCATATTTACCACTTGTCAAAACGCCACAAAAACAAAGAATTATCAACCGATGCCCACGCCCGACGTATCTCTGGAAATATTCCACACAGAGCGGTGCCTTCGCCTCCAGCTGCATTATATCTCTCAATGAGCACAGAAGGTAATTCCCATGTATCGCCCACTTCAATCAATGGCGGCCACTGCAACAAATTCGAAACACGTCAGTGACAAAAGCTCGAACATAATAAGCCCTAAAACCCTAAAAACACCATTCCGAATATATTCCGGTCATTCCACTCAAAATCAAGAACCCTTCTCACATTCAATCAAGAACCCCAAAGCTCAAAACAACGAAACAAATAAATTGCGATAGGAGGAAGTCGATTAGTTCGTGATGCTAACCTCTCTGGGATGAGTAGAATACGGGTGACTTGCGTATCTGGAAGCTTCGAGAGCTTCTTCTAGGTCGAGCTGCGAAGCAACTTCTCGGCCAATGCGGTCGCTGACGACGAGCCCAGCATTCGTCACATCCCGCATCACAATCTCCTCTTCCGCCAACATCTTCCAAGAAAATCAGGAAGAACGCGAGAAGCAATTTGAACCAGAGAACCCTAGAATCGTACAGTTCTCAGCGGCGAGAAAATCAAAACCTTGGATTGGATTCGGAGCTCACGTAACCGAGAGCGGGAACGTTCAAAAATTGGGAGCGAAAATTTTCAATTTGAGAGAAATGCGTCTGCGAGCTCTCTCGCTCGCAGTTTTAAGTTTCGAGCAGGGGTTTATGAAATAAGGGTTTTTTTGCCTCTTTCCTTTTCCCTTTATTCCGGGTCGGGTCAAAATCTGCTTTCCTTTTCTTGATACCGGGTCGAAACTAAATAAAAGGCAAAGCAATAGATACATAATTTATTCGGATTAATAAATAATAATTTAACACATAAATGATAAATGTTATGAATAAATCGGTCGTTGACTTGTTGAAATCAAACCGGGATTATATACCATACACACTCGATGTCTTGAATGGCAATACTATTATTACATCTGAGATTATGATTTACATAAATTAAAAAAAAGGTGGGCTGCGTAGTTCTAATGTAATAATCCATTGATTTTAGGCTTAGTATATTTCCCCGACAACAGTTCTCCATGGGTTTTTTTTTTTTTTTTTTTTTTTTTTTTTTTTTTTGCGTGGATATATACCATCCGACATGGGAAATATCGTGTTATTCAAACCGTTAATAAAATATTTTTACACGCGAGCAAATAAAAAACAAACATGTGGAAAATGCTGTCGCGTCATCATTATTGTAACGATTTGTGTTGCATACTTTTGTACCATGCAAAGAAGACCGAATGATTAGCTCATATATCATATTGGCGTGATGACGATGATAAGTTGATAACTATAGTCATGATGTCGATATGGTAAATATGTGATTATATCGAAATTATGAAAATTATATGTTTAGTATATGGACTACATCAAACTTTAAATATATTTATTTTTCAAAGGATTTAGGATGTAGGGTAATTTGTATGCCATTTTAATATATTCCAAAAAAACTTTATTAGAAAAGGTGGTAATAGAATAGAAGAATGTAAAACCATGCCACCGGATGAATACTTTAAAAACAATGTAGAATTGTATTTATTATTGCATTGGATCCACAAAATGGTTCATACGAGAGTTATCTTTATATATATACATATATATATATATATATATATATATATATATGTGTGTATAAAGCACCATCATATCCAACAACACATTCAATGCAAGCCCAGATTTTGGCTAGATGGATAATTTTTTTAAACTCTTTCTTGAATTCTGGTGATTAGACACAGTTTGTGTTTTGTATTCTGAAAGATGAATTCCATAGTTTCCAACACAAAACTCAATGTGGTGAAGAAATGCAATTAAACCATTGAATATAGTTATAACCTTATTAAAAGACCGAGCGATCAAACCATTGAATATAATTTTCATCAAAAGAAACAACGGTCCGAGTATAAAACTCGGAAAACATGAACCCCCGATAGCGTGAGGGTAAATTTGTCATTTTGCATTATGGAACACGCGTCCACGCGCCACTTTGCAACTTCCCACCCCAGTTCGTTCCGAAGAACACGATTAAACTCCTCGACGAAACGGGGAAAAGCGGAAAATCGAAAAGCAAAGAGAAAAAGATGAAACCTCATTCGTCGAATTTCGTATTTAGTTTATAAATCAGAAGTCGTTCTTCCGGAAATTGAAATCGGGTTCTGTTAGGCCTCGCTTCACTCCTTTGCTTTTGACCATATATGGTTTTTTGCCCAGACGTTGAATTATTCAAGTTTCGGTCGTCCAAGATTTGAGGAGGTCGCGGTCTGGGATGACCCGGAGAGGATTCAGAAGCAGAATCGCTGTATGAGAAGCGGGAGAATGCCGCTCTTGAGGTTTCGATCCGGTTTTCCTCCTTGCTTCCGTGGAATTTCGATGACTAGAGATAAAACGGTGGCTGTCCATATTTCAGTGGGTACGAAGAACTCCGATCAATCCATGTGGAGCCCTGAGATGGTTTTGATTTTGGGGCAGTTCTCTCTGTCGCGAGGAGGTCAGCTTTTGCTTGTGTATTGTCAATTGAAAGTGTTTGTCTATGGAGAACCATTTAAAGGTTCCTTGCAGGGGGGAAATAGTGTTCATCCTGGATCCGTCTATCTATGTGGTCGTCACAAACCTTAACTATCAAGTGAGTTTGGGGAAGGGCATTCACCCGAGTTTAGCCGGCTCCCAGGATTAATCTGAGCTTGGTCCAGATACCCAAAAACAAAACTATCAAGTGAATGGGGGGTGGCTACTCGAATTGAAGCACAACACATCTAAACAAGCATGGGTCTGAGGTCAGGAGGCCGGGCTTTTTTGTTTCTCAACTCTCAAGAAAAATTCATCAAAGCCTTCACAGTTCAAACCTAGTTGTGCCTCTGTCAGGTGTTATGCTATCTGATCCTTCCAATGATGTGGGTTTACGGTTTGGGGACTTGTTCTTATCTGGTGATTGGGCCTGTTACACATTGAACTTCCTGGGACTGGCAAATACAGGTGGTGCTCTTGTTTCTGCAGGTGACTTGTTTTTCTAATCCAAAATTTTCAGGTTGGCCTGGAGAGCCGACTTCATCTTTAAATATGTCTGCTTGTTTCTGTATCTATTAGCTACATGTGGAGCATCGCAACATCCTCGGACGATAGTTACGGATTATGAAAGGCATGAGACAAGGAAGCATGATATGACAATTGCAGGAAGTACAGAGGAGCAAACACAACAACCCGCACCAATTTGATAAAGGCTAGATGTTGTTGTATAGGAAAGTGACATGTATTTATTTCAAATACGTATATGTATACGTGTTGTACAAACAGAGAATTGTATATAAAAGCAACCTTTGTGTTGCTGGAAAATACAAGTGAGAGAAAATTTCTAAAATCCCTACACCGACGCTTTTCTATCTTCTTCTCCCTTACTTCTCTCTGGTCTTCTTTGACCTCTCATGGCTTCTACGGTTTCGATTCTTGGAACCTGAAATGGTATCAGAGCCCTGTGTAGGTGATTTCTCTACTTGATTTTCTCATTCCTTTTTTTTTTCTTTTGTTGTTATCATGGCCGATTTCAACCAAACTTTCTCTGACGAAACCTCTGCTACGTCTTCTAATCCGGCACCGGCACCAGCTCCTCCTCCTCCTCCTCCATTGATTCCCACCGATTATTATGGGAACCATTACTTTCTCGGAGCTACTGATCACACCACTCTTCAACTCGTGAATGATCGCCTTACCGGACCTGAAAACTACAACACCTGGTGTCGCTCTATTACCATGGCGCTCGAAGGCCGAAACAAAATGGGTTTTGTCTCCGGTGCCATTTCACGACCTGACGATGGAGATCCTGATGCGCAGCTGTGGTACCGCAACAACGTCGTTGTCAGCTCCTGGCTTATCAACTCCGTTTCGCCGACCATTGCTACAAGCCTTCTGTATCTCAGCTCTGCTCATGACATCTGGCTGAATCTGTGCAAGCGCTTCAAACAAAGTAACACGCCTCGTTTATACAGCATCAAACAACTTCTGCATGGGTTGCGACAGGGATCTCTTGATGTTACCACTTTCTACACAAAGTTGCTCACCATTTGGGAGGAGATCAAAGCTTTGAAAACCCCACCTCACTGCAAATGCGGCAACTGCTCCTGCAATATATCTCAGGAATGGCGTGAACAAAGCGAACGTGACTTTGTCATTGATTTTCTCTTCGGGCTGAATGAGTCGTATGATGCAATCCGGAGTCAGATAATCATGTTGGACCCGCTGCCGGATCTCGAGAAGACATTTCATCTGATAACACAGCATGAACAACAACGCTCGATCAAGACTCCTTTGATCTCTGATCAACCTGTTATGCAGACCTCTACCCTGGTTGATACTTCTGCTCGACCAGTTGCTGCTGTACACAGCTCCAGAGGAAAGCCAAAGCCCTTGTGTACCCACTGTGGTCTTCACGGCCACACGATCAACAAGTGTTACCGTCTTCACGGGTTTCCGCAAGGCTACAGACCCTCCACGCCGCAGTTCTCTTCGAGAGGACCTGGTCAGTTCTCACGCCTGCCCCCTGCATATCCCCGCAAGCATGTTGTGGGTACTCTTACAAGCGATGTTAAGTCTTCCTCACTCCCTGATGTGGACACCATGACTGTGGCTCAGATTCATCAGCTCTACGGCCAGATTACTGACAAAATGAATCTGGGATCTCGTCCTTCTATTACAGGACACGGTGCTGCCGACTCTTCCAACCATGGTAACTATATCCTTTTTGGCTTCTGTTTCCCGATTGATGGTTCCTCTGTTCAGCATATAAATGGTTGGATAATAGATTCTGGTGCCTCAGTTCATGTTTGCCCAGATGAATCTCTGTTTACTGATCTGTCTCAGTGCAGCCCGATCACGGTGACCTTGCCTAATGGTGATCGTATTCAGGTTTCAATGGTGGGAACAATCAATATTACAAACCATCTGATTTTATCTGATGTCTTGTATATTCCGTCATTTGCCTTTCACATCTTGAGTGTCCCTGCTTTGCTGAGAAACACTTCCTATTCAGTTTGCTTCACCGAATCATCATGCATTATCCAGGATTCCATTCAGGGTTTGAGGATTGGCACTGCTAGGTTGCTTCGGAATCTCTATGTTCTGAGCTTTCCTTCGTCACCTCTGGTCAGTGATGTTTCCTGTTCATTATTGCTCGTTGATTCTTCTGTTTGGCACCGTCGTTTGGGACATCCCGCTTTTGACAGGATCCGAACTTTGTCTAACGATCTCCACCTCTCTAAGTCTGTAGATTTTGGTCACTGCGAGACCTGTCATCTAGCGAAACAAAGAAGATTGCCATTTTCACCAAGGAGCAATCTCAGTGCGGCAGTTTTTGATCTGATACACCTCGACATCTGGGGCCCTTTTTCAGTTCCTTCAGTTGATGGCTTCCGTTTCTTTCTTACAATCGTAGACGATTGTTCTAGGGCATCTTGGGTGTATCTTCTTAAACACAAAAGTGATGTTTTGACAGTTTTTCCTCAGTTTGTTATGCTGATTAAAACTCAATTCAACAAGTCCATTAAAGCTATACGCAGTGATAATGCTACAGAGCTTCGGTTCGCAGACTTATGCAACACTAATGGAATCCATCACTATTTCTCCTGTGCTTATACTCCGGAACAGAACTCGGTTGTTGAACGCAAACATCAACACCTTCTTAATGTTGCTAGAGCCTTAATGTTTCAATCACACATTCCCATTGAGTATTGGAGTGATTGTATTAGGACAGCAACATATCTGATTAATAGAACACCATCCTCAGTCTTACATCAGCGTACACCGTATGAGGTCCTCATGGGAAAGCCTCCTACATACGATCATCTACGTGTTTTTGGATGCCTGTGTTACGCCTCGACTATTGACAGAAACAGATCCAAGTTTTCTCCTCGAGCAAGACCAGCTGTTTTTCTTGGATACCCTATTGGATATAAGGGTTACAAACTGCTTGATAAGGAGACCAATGAGATATTTATATCTCGTCATGTTAAGTTTCATGAAGACATATTCCCTTTCACAGATCAGGAATTTTCTGGCAGGGATCGTGTTTCAGAAATTTTTGCTTCTGCTGTTTTACCAGCTCCTATTAATCTCGACATTCCTGTACCAGCTATGTCTTCTCTTGCGCCAGAAACTATTTCAGCTGCTCAAATGCCTCCTTCACAGCATGCATCCTCTGGTTCTCGCTTTGCCTCTTTACCAGTGGATGTTTCAGAATCAACAGTGGAACAAGATCAGTCTCCTTCTTCACCTGATCAGCCTCTTCGACCCCAGCGAATACATCGAAGGCCAGGGTATCTCTCTGATTATTATTGCAATTCTATTCAACATTGCTCTACTAATCATCCTTTGTCTGAAGTTCTCTGTTCCAGCAAACTGTCAACACCATATTCACAGTTTTTGCTGAATATTGATCATGACTCGGAACCTCAAACATTCAAGGCGGCTATATCATCCCCTCTCTGGCAGCAAGCTATGAACGATGAACTTCAAGCTTTGGTACAGAATAACACCTGGAGCATTGTGTCTTTGCCATCGAATAAGCGTGCCATTGGTTGTAAGTGGGTTTATAAACTAAAACGTAAGGCAGATGGCTCGATAGATCGGTATAAAGCCAGGCTTGTTGCCAAAGGCTTCACCCAGCAGGAAGGAGTCGATTATCTTGACACATTCTCTCCCGTAGCCAAGCTTGTGACTGTGAAGACGATATTGGCATTAGCTGCTATAAAAGGCTAGAGCATTACACAACTAGACATTGCTAATGCCTTCATTCATGGAGACTTGGATGAGGAGCTTTATATGGCTGTCCGACCAGGTTATACACCACCTTCTGGTTCTGCTCTTCCTCCAAATGCAGCCTGCAAACTTCATAAGTCACTCTATGGGCTCAAGCAGGCTTCTCGCCAATGGTATGCGAAGTTTTCTTCAGTTCTTATCCACGCTGGCTTCACTCAGTCGCAATCAGATCACACATTATTTGTTCGACGGACTGATTCTGCATTTTTGGCTCTCCTGATATATGTCGACGACATCATCATTGTAAGTGACAATACTTCATCTGTTACAGAGCTTAAGACACTGCTTTCCTGTCACTTCAAGGTTAAAGATTTGGGACCGTTACGGTATTTCTTGGGCTTGGAAATTGCGAGAAATTCTTCTGGTATATCAGTCTCTCAACGTAAATATTGCCTCGAGCTTCTTCGGGATGTTGGATACCTTGGCTGCAAATCGGTTTCTGTACCAATAGATCCGAATGTACAACTCAATCAAGATTCAGGTACTCTGCTTGATGACCCTGTCTCTTATCGGAACTTGGTTGGTCGTCTTCTTTACCTTACCATTACTAGACCCGACATTACGTTCTCTGTTCATAAGCTCAGCCAGTTTGTCCATCGCCCAACTACAGAGCATCTGAAGGCAGCACATCGTGTTATCCGCTATCTCAAATCCAATCCGGGCCAAGGGTTATTCTATTCTGCTCAAGCTGATCTGCGACTTCAAGCTTTTTCGGACGCTGATTGGGCCTCCTGCCCTGATTCTCGGAGATCTGTCACGGGATTCTGCATTTTTCTCGGCTCCTCTCTTATCTCTTGGAAAGCTAAGAAGCAGCAGACGGTATCACGAAGCAGCGCAGAAGCCGAGTATAGGGCTCTCGCAAACACCACTTGCGAGATTACTTGGTTGTTGAAGCTGTTTGCTGATTTAAGTGTCAGCATTCCTCTGCCAATCAGTTTATTTTGTGATAGCAATTCTGCTGTTCATATCGCATCCAATTCCGTTTTTCACGAACGAACGAAGCATATCGAACTTGATTGCCACGTTGTTCGGGAAAAATTGGTTGCTGGTCTGATACATCCGCTGCACATTGCTGCTGAACACCAATTAGCAGATATCATGACCAAGGCAATTCCACCGAAGCTCTTCCATTCGTTGCTCAGCAGATTACAGATTTCAAATCTTTTTCTTCCTGATGGAAGTTCAAGATTTGACGGGGGAGTATTAGCTACATGTGGAGCATCGCAACATCCTCGGACGATAGTTACGGATTATGAAAGGCATGAGACAAGGAAGCATGATCTGACAATTGCAGGAAGTACAGAGGAGCAAACACAACAACCCGCACCAATTTGATAAAGGCTAGATGTTGTTGTATAGGAAAGTGACATGTATTTATTTCAAATACGTATATGTATACGTATTGTACAAACAGAGAATTGTATATAAAAGCAACCTTTGTGTTGCTGGAAAATACAAGTGAGAGAAAATTTCTAAAATCCCTACACCGACGCTTTTCTATCTTCTTCTCCCTTACTTCTCTCTGGTCTTCTTTGGCCTCTCATGGCTTCTACGGTTATCCAATAAACAGGACGGAGAAGATGCATAATAAAGTGCCAAGTACCGCCTAGTGCATATTGATCCAGGGGCGAATGAGCGAATGAAGATTAGTCTGAATGTGCAAGTTTTAAAGGTGTCGGTTCATAGTTGAACGTAATTCAAAAAAAAAAAAAAAGACTCTGTCCTTTCTTTTTCCCATAGACGTGGAACTCTCTCTTATAATCCAACAACTTTCAAAAATACTCGATGGAGAATGAGATCCAGATTTTGCTTATACGATGGTTCAGGACCTTCAGGTTTCCCCTTTTCCTGAAATCTTCTTTGCTTTAGAGAAGAAAAAAAAAAGGAAAAAGGCAGTTTTTAAGATACTCCGTATATGTTTTCTCGCTTTGATCGGTTTACTTTGACTGTCTTTGTTATTTCATACAATTAGTTTAGAGACTTCTATGATTTCCCGTTCATTAGCCAGCTGCTTTCTCTTCGCAATCATATGCAAAGACAATGTACATTCAAGATGCTAAGACCAAGGCTGAAAAAGAAAACCATGTGATTTTTTGTATATATAAATTGGATAAATCGTAAACCCTAAAATCTTATTTCATATTGCATGATCTATTTTCTTCGCCCTGTAAAGAGAAAATACAAAACAAATGGAAAATAAAATATTAGTTATTTTCGGATAGGTACCCAAAAATTAAACTCCTAATGTGAAACCGCATTATTATTGTAGGCCGTTATGGGGATTAGTTAGCCACGTGTCAACGTCGTCACATGATTTTTAATGTGTGATGTTGGTTGAAGTCTTCGACTTTTGGATTTATTCACATATTTATAACAAAACCGAAATTAAAATAACTTATCATATGGTGGAAATTTGTGCATGCATTCTATAAAAAAAAATGGGAATGGTGATGTTATTAAGTAAAGCATATGTCACGGGAAAAGGATGAGACATCAAAAGTCTTTGTAATCCTACTTGGATCCAGTGAGGAAACCCCGCTTGTCAAGTAGTACATAGTTTTGTAATTAATTTCTTGATTTTATTCTACAACAAAAAAATGCAATATGCGAGAAAAAAAAATATAACAAAAAAAAAATATTAGCGGATAGAAGAGGATGGAGAGTGATCCCTAACCATACGACCCAATGCAACCTTTGACATAAATAGTACCATTTCTATTTTTATCTTACACGCTTTTTTTTTTAACGGAAGTTCTCTATCTGCTACCCTTCGGATGCGCTAACTAGGTAAACCTCCGATCCGGGAGCAGCAATCTTACACGCATTTTCAATGTTGATTTGAAAATCAGTGGAAAAAGCGATTCCGAATGAAGATTAGCTTATTACATTACATAATTTTTTGAACCGATACATATGTTCTTGTACGTAGATGAGTATTATATTCTTATTATATATATATATATATATATATATATATATATAGAAATTAAGTTTTGGATACTGTATGTGATTTTTTTTCCCGGTTTTATGGCAAATTTTAGTTTACCGCAACCATCATTTGTTTTATTGATTATGTATGTATGTGCGTGTTTCAATTTTAAAAAAAAAATGTGCTTATATATAGCCATGGACAATATATTCAAAAGACAAGTTTGTATATATATGTTTTTTGGGTAAGTTGTATAAATATGTTCAAATATAGCTTGTTTAAATTATACTCTCCACGACGAATTGAGATATGTGTGAATTTATAATCATTGATTAAATATATGCCAGTTAATGATTTATTTTATGCATTTAATGATTTGGGTCCATAATCGTATACATTTTGACTCTAAACTGAATTTTTATTATAATGTTATTTTCAACGTAAGTTAAATAATGATTTTTAAGATATATTTTTTATATTTTTGTTTTGATACGCTTGTATGGTTGATCCAACAAATTGCCCCATGCTTGTCTAGAAAGGGGTCCATCAGTGCACATGGAGAGGCAGCAGTCTCTCATGGACCAACCGCTCCGGCAACATCAGAAATTGAATCTCAGTTCTCACATAACCAATAACCATTTATATCATTATTATTCTCAATAATGAAATATTATTTATAAATTGAATTATTAATCAAAACTTTATTATCCATGTGAGAATCGCACTAATAATTTCTCAAACCTATCATTCCAGAGACTATTTATTAACTAAATTTTCATGTACGTAACGATAATAGGAGACATGATGAATGGTTTCAAAAGGAAGGTGGGCCTCATCAGCACGTCATTGTTAAATTTTAAAATTTAAATAAAAATAAAACGCAATAGTTATCGAAAACGATGGAAAGTTTATCTAATATTTATACATGCTGAGTATTATTATTCTATATTATGCAGTGTATATTCATAAGAGTAGTGTATTATCTGAATTTAATGCGGTATAAATTTCGAATGGTAGCAGTTAGAGGTCCTCCGTTGTAAAAAAAATATATATATAAATAAACGTCGGTTTCATATCTTTGTTTAGGGCGGAATTAATACATAATATAAGTTAAGTAATTATATCTCGAAACTTTTTTAGACGATTTCTTAGTCTAATTCCCAACGAACATGAACAAATTATAAAACGATATTAAAAGAATAAATAAGGGACAAGTTCTATAAGAATTAATATGTCGAACCACAAATCCCGTGATGCCCTCGTACTTGCGTGGGTGTGTTTTTCTAATTCCTAATTTGTCGGAAATAATTTCGGTGGTACCCCATTATCAATACTTTATATATACACACATACTCATATGTATATACATACACACATATATATATGCCAATACATGTATGGCCCTTTCAACATTCCATGATACTACGTTTATGTATGGTATACTATACCATAACCATATATATTTGTCTTTATGCATATAATAATGCATATATATGCTAAAAAAAAGGAAAATTCCAAAATATTATATTTCAAATATTATAGCCGAAACCTTATACGAAATATACACAATCCCCATCGGGCAAATATTATATAAAAAAAATTACACATTCGAGAAGCAGTCGTCGTAACAAGTAAATATATTCACATTTATGAATGCGTGTGTATACAGCGTATGAAATTAAGTTTTCTACTTACTTTTACCAAAAAAAAACTTATAAAATTAAGCTGTTACCAAATCCCAAAAGATCAACAAACAAATACTATAAATATAACAATCATAATTCTCAATCCCATTATAATTCTTAATCTCATTAGATTTTCTCTATATAATAGAATTTCTAGACAGGATTCATAATTCCATTAGAATTGCTATTCTAATTAGTATTTTCAATCTAATTCGATTTTTTATTATATATAAAAGGTGAACATACACTTTATAAAATTAGGAGGAAAAATATCTGTACAATTATACGAAATAGACGTTAACTGCTGCGCGGATATCACGTGGCACATCCGGTAAAATTTAAAACTTTAACCAGTAATATTGAGAAGCAAATGGGAGGAGAGGTTGAGTCACGTGAGCTCAATTAGCAACTTTTAATTATTTTTAATCTATCTCTTAATCACACGATTACTTAACTGCCTCTTTCCCGGAATGGTGATGTTATTAAGTAAAGCATACAGGTTCCCAATTATTGGCTTGTTTCTAACCATTTGATTTCTTTATATGGCCCTACTGTTTTTGCACATTTGATCTATTCACCTAATTCTATATCTACAGACGATTTGTAATAACAGAAACTAATAAATATTTTCTCATTTCTGTAATATTACCGTTTCTATATGTAATATTACCGTTTCTGTCGGTTTTATTTACTTTTTCTAGGAAAAATCCAAAAAAAATAATGAATTTTTTAATTTTGAAAAAAAATATCGAACTTTATTTTTATTAAATAAATATTAAATTTTTCAAATGAATCTAAAAAAATACTGAAATTTTTTAGTGATCCAAAAAAATACATAAATTGTTTTTTGTGATTATAAAAAAAACGCTGAACTTTTTTAGTGATCTAAAAAAATACATGAATTTTTTTTCGATTGTAAAAAAAGTTGACGTATTTGCATCTTGTCGTGTCACGTCAGTCATTTTGACAATTGTAGAAGAGTTAATATTTATTTTGTCAAATTAAAAAAGTTTAATGTTTATTTGATAAAATAAAAAGTTTAGTATTTTTTTTATTAAAATTTGAAAGTTTAATAATTTTTTTGGGATTTTTTTTATTTTTATGTAACTTACATGTTTCCATTCTCTTACTATTTGTTTCATTTGTTATTCCAGAGGTTTTTATTTGTAAACTCCATGAGAATCTACTGTATTGTAACATATAAATATAAATATATTTATTAATTGCGGAAGGAAAACAAAAGAGAGGGGCCGTTTTCTATATAAAGGATAAGCCATTGGAGGCAGAGAGAGACAACGCTTTTTGTCTCATTGCCTGACTCCTCCTCCTCCTCCTCCATCGTCGTCGTCGTCACTCTCTCATATTTCAGGCGCAACCTTTCCCAATAAACTTTAATAGATTAAAACTTTTGGTGGGTTCTTATTCACTGCCCATTAATCAAACAGATTCTTGTTCCTTTTTCTTGCCTTTTAATTACCCTTCCCAAAAAAACCACAGAGCTCTCCTCCTCCTCCTCTTCTTCTTCATCATTATCTGATAAATCGTGGGAGATAAATAAAGATGGTTTGCGTGGTTTCTCGCACGGGTCGCCAGTTTCAGAGATACAACAAGGGTCGCCGCCAAGTCGTCGGGTATGTATATGTACACACATACACACATGTTAATTCATACATATACCCTCGTACATATACACGTAGATCTGCGCATACATATGCCTTACAAAGGTGATTGAATCGCTAATCGATTTCTTCGTATTTGATGGTAAATTGTGGTACATCAGTTCTCGAAATTTGGCTGCCGGTTAGGTCACCACTAGGTGGATATTTTATTACATAAATCGTAAATCTGGAAAACACTTGACTGTATATTTAATTATAGTTTCCAATTACTTGATTTTCTTTTTTATTTTTATCTGTCTCAAAAGCTTTCTAATATTGGGGAAAATGGGGGGGGGGGGGGGAACGTACAGATTCAAGATATCCAGCGACGGCACCATCAGTGATGAACTCGAAGTTCTTGTTATCACTTCCCAGAAGGGTCACGCCATGATGTTTCCCAAGGTTTTTTTTTTCAACTCTTTCTTCTGACAAAAAATTCAAGAACCAAACAGAAACTTGTTAGCATCTGTCTTGTAATAATTATTAATAATTTTTATAAAGCTAATTGTTGGTTAATTTTTAAAAAATAATAATAAATTGGGCAGGGAGGGTGGGAGCTTGATGAATCTGTAGAGGAAGCGGCTTCTAGAGAATCCCTAGAAGAAGCCGGAGTTCTTGGCAGCATTGAGGTATTGTTCCGTTTGCAGATATCTTTAATTTTAATGGGTATATTAATATGAATTATGAAATTTAATTTTATACATTTTTATCAATTGGATTTTTGTTGGGTTTGATATCTTTTTTAAATATGCAGAGTCAACTGGGGAAATGGGATTTCTTGAGCAAAAGCAGAGGCACATTCTATGAAGGGCTAATGTTCCCTCTCCTTGTCAAAGAACAACTTGATCTCTGGCCCGAACAACACCTTCGTCAGAGAATTTGGGTTAGTCTTTTTTTTTTCATATAAAAAAAAAATTCCAAAATCGAATTTTCTAGCAGAATAATGCAAAGTAAAGCGTTGATCTTTAAAAAAGAATATCATATATGTATGTGTATATATACACATGCAGATGACAGTGGGTGAAGCAAGAGAAGCGTGTAGGGATTGGTGGATGAAGGAAGCATTGGATGTTTTGGCTGAGAGGCTTTCTTCTCCCATGAAGCAAGACAATGAAGAAACAATCACCATCTCTATTTTATGATACATCATGTCATGTCATGTCATGTCGTGTCATGTATATATGTATCCCATCTGTATATAAAAATCTAGACGTAATGTATGGATTAGAAAGACCGGACCAAACTAGCAAAAGTTTGGTGCATAGAGAAAAATGTTAGATTTTATATTAGGAATGAGCATATGAAGACATGTGATTTGGTCTTTGTTTTTGTGCTATACCTCTCTGCTTAGGAAGTATATATATATATATATATATATATGTATATATATACTTCCACCTAAACAGATGAAAGAGATGCAGTTACTGCAATACTAGTGGTGAACAAGTCCCCTCAAAGATATATTTTAAAATAAGCGATAATTATTTTGATTTTTTTTTTGGGAGAAAATGACAAATATTATACATATGGTGATGATGATGATGATGATGTTGATGTGACATGTACATACTGTAATATATTATGGGCACAATTTATTTCCAATTATCTACTAATAGATGATGGGAGGGAGCATCCATTTCGTTTTCAGCTGTTGGGCTTTATTTTCAAAATTCTTGCATTAGGAAACGACTTGTCAAGACCTTTTCCTATTGGGCGTTAGGCCCATTAATGGTTTACCGAGTTTTATGAGGCCCAACTAGTAAGGGCATTATATCATTGGCAGATTTAATGGGCTTTTTATTTGTGTAATATACAGCTCACAAAACCGACGCGCGCTTGTGCAGCGCGTGCAGCTTCGCTATAACGATGTAGAGATAGCAAATCAATTTTCGTCCATTTTCCTATTTTTTTTTCTTGGAGAACCTGTCCTACAACCTTTCGGATCGAGCACCGGACACTGTAATGCCTCAAAGCCCAATGGGCCGGACAAAAACGATATCAGGACAATATCACGGACCAAGAAAAACCTCAAACTCACGCACACGAATCTACAACATATACATAGAGATAAATCAGTTGTAATTGACAGACGACAGATGAGAGACAAGAAGGCCACGAGGAATCGAACCCCCGATCTCATGGTTTCTCCATACTTCTTGAAGAAGTTTGGACCCTCAAAGAGTAAAACGGAAAAACTAATCAATTCTATTCACTTGAGAAAAAGTCAAGTACAACTCACTTTTTGTTAGAGCTACTCAACACCCAGATGAAACTCCCCCTGAGTTTCAACTCACTCTCACAATGAATTCTACCGATTAAAAACCTTACCAAACATTAACGCTCACCAAAGGAATAGAGATTTTTCCATTAGGTCCCCCCCTCAGATCCACGCCCAAACACTCACCAGAGGAAAGAGATTTGCCCAATCGGTCTCTTCCTCAGATACACACTCACTCAAAAGTGAGTTATCACTAACCAACAAAAAGACTCTCTTTTAGTAAAATATGCTTTGCTCTCCGTGAGAACTGATATGCACTTGCTCTCTCCTTTATATAGGCTCCTCCAGTTCGCCTTAGATCTCCACGAATTGATTTGATAGACTCCTCTTTGATTTTCTTTGATTTCATCTTTATCTTCAAGATCTCATCTTTATCTCTTGTTTGACTCTATCTCTTCAGCCTTTGACCTTATCTCCAAGATCTTATCTTTATCTCAAATCTCCTCAAATCTTCTTGGCTTTGATTCTATCTTCATCTCTTCAAGTCAAATCCAAACTTCGTGGCTTAACTTCGTGGTTCTATATCTTCAGATTGCTTTTCCTAAAATCTCTCCAAGTGGTTGAAATTGAGTTCATCTTAATCTCTTAGTCTTTGACTTTATCTCAAACTCGTCAGTTGTACCTCAGAATTGCGTGAGTTCTATCTCGCCGGATTCTTCTCTTGAAATCTCTCAAGTTTGTTGAACCTGCAATAACTACTTAACAACCAAAAAACACATGTGCAAATAATTGCACTAACAATCTCCCCCTTTTTGGTTATTTCAGATCATGCACACACACACATAAAAATGTTCTCAATTCAGCACAACTTCACATCAAGATTCGCATCATGATTCAGACATATTTGACTTTGATTCACTTAACAACACATTTCTCCACATTCACTCAGACAAGTTTGACTTAAATTTGAAGTAACTCTGACCACTTTGACCTTGTCTTTTTCTTTTGTTCCTGTACGTTCTCAGTTCCATTGATGGAATCATTATCGTCTCATTATCTTCATCTTCTGAATCATCATCTACACATTCTCCCCCTGTGTGCATGTATGAAATAATCCAAAATCTTGAGTGAGAAGAGATTTAAGACACTTACCTGGCTTGCAGAATTTTGAATCTTCCTCTTGAATCTAGGAGTGCACACCTTTTGTCTCACCATTTTTCTGTTCAACACTTAAAAACAACACTCGCAGTAGGATAATATGAGCGTCACCTCCTTTCTCATCACAAAATTGATTGCAAGTCTCTGATTTTTCAGCTCCACATTGTCCAATAACTTAGTCATTACTTCACCACTCAACTCAAATCCGGTTTATATATATATTTTTTTTAAAATCAAATGAAAACACATGCGAGATTAATTGGGATCTTTCAAATTTTAAATCTAATAACATCATTCAGCAGATCATTAGAGCATAATGCTTGATCAGTTAAGTCAGAAATACCTCACTTTCCACCGAACACTTCACTGACTTTTCTCCCCCTGAACTTCTAGGACGTTGAAACCGAGCATGCAAGTTTCACCATTTAAGTCCA